CCCCAAAACCCCAAAACCCCAAAACCCCAAAACCCCAATAAGCTCTAGAGGGGTTGAACTGGGAAGCTAAAGCCAATAAAAATAAGATATATGATGAAAATAGGAGAAAAGTGTTCTTAAAATATGACCCCTTAGTTCTGCAGGCCTAAAGACCTCAACTTCTTGGACTTCCTGCTCCTTGGCATTGGTTTCATTGATTCTACGGGGAAGTCCATCTTTGGCTGAGAGGTTCGGAAACCTATAAGGGGGATGTTAGAGCATCAAGATAAGCAGAAGGTATGGTGGACCTTCAAAACAGCCTAAAATGGATAGTTTTGAACTGTCATTGGGATTTTTGGCTTACCTTCCTTTCTAGTCTTCTTTCTTCTTATAATTCTTCTACACACTCATTGCCAGATGATAGCTACTATGATTCAGCCCAGTATGAATCATAACGAAATTAGTATGACTAAACAAGTTAGTAAGACATCTTTGTATCATTTTCTTACTCATAAAAAGATCATGGATTCTTTTGATGCTCTCAATATTCTCGTCAGCTCTTGCGTTCAAGTCGCTCATGACAGGATCTTTAAAGATATCTGAGGCGGATTGTGCTTCGAATGAGACTATATTCGAACGGTTTTAAAAGTTTCAAAGAAAAGACATTTGAGTGTATGGAAAGCATAAAATTTTGTGAGTTTAAAGTTGGATCTTCGGGATGAGACAGATAGAGATCTATAGAATAATCTAGTAAACCGAATGATTATAAAGGCTAAAAACCCGATAAAGTTCGAACAATTCAAATTTTTCATAAAAATCCACTCTTCCCTTACTCCCCACCACTCAGTCTCCTAAACACTCTGAACCACTCAAATTGCTTCAGAAGATACCCTATTCTCCCACCTCTATCACCTCTTTCCCCGCCTCCAGTCCTCGAAACCTACCATTCATGTTCCTATTCCCAGTGTCCATACTCTTTAAGTAAATTAATAGTTCAATATTAATGTAGAATTATGGGGTTTTGGGGTTTTGGGGTTTTGGGGTTTTGGGGTTTTGGGGTTTTGGGG